ATATCAACAGCTCTTGCAAGCTGGGACAGTTAATTTCATTAAAGGTTGCAAAATAAAGGATAATCATCTCAGCTACAGCTTGGCAATAGCTTGGAACAAATCTTCAGATGTGAGTGTAGGAAAATATTGGTTTAAATGCTTTCCCTGCAGCTTTGAATGACAATGAGATGGAGAGAGAGTCTGAAATAGATGCATAACTTGAACTGCAAGCAGCAACTGATAAGGAATCTGGGGCAGAGGGAATGACTCAGTTGGCTGTGGTGCAGTAGCAAATCCACATGGGGCTTTGGAAATGTTCATCCATGCCAGTGATAATGCACCAACCACAGAGATGATTATGACAGCCAGAGAAATTCAGAGAGCAGTAATGAAAAATAACCAACGCAATGAACCAGTGGGAACTTCAGAGTCAAAGGGCACAAAGGACGATGTTTTGAAAATAAAAGCAAGAAAAGGGACTGAGAGGATCTTTGATCTAAAGGCTTCTTCCTGCAGGTTTTCTCTCTCCAGACACAAAAATACAAGGCTTATGGCTATTCCCTTAAGAACTGAACAACACGTCAAAAAGGAGAGAGAGGGAGAGAAAGCCTTCCAAGATAACATTTAATCATCATAAAAATGCGTGCGTGAATGTAACAAAGAGAAAAAAATGCATATATCTTAAAAAATAAATATGTAACAGAAATCTAACCAAATAGTAAAAAAAAAAAAAGTGCAGTAATGTGTGCGGTGACTTGGACAGAATAGGATAGATAAATATACACTGCCAGCTGATCTCCTTTCATAAGATGACTATTCCATATTTCAAGGGAGTGTCTCCATTTTTCAACCAAGTGGTCCCTAATCCTGACAGATGACATATTGATGCTTACACGTCCTGTTTTGGGCCTCCATGCAAGTATTTTCTGTTGTCTCTTATTCTGAGGGCTTTTTTCAATGCATTTGCTATATACATAAGCAGGTCTTTAGGGACCCATTATAGAAAGCAGTGTTGAGAATCGCTCCATCCTCGCATCTCATTTCACACTTCTAGTGGCAATCACATGAAAGCGTCCCCTTTGGGGAAAGGGTGACTCTCAAATTGTGTTTAAGCCCTTATTCAAAAAATCAGAAACCCTACCTCAGTTCCATTGCATCTCTATCAGGGGCAGCAAAGGTGTAGGCTGAAACCTTACCTGTCCCCTAGCTTATTTGTCACCACCACCCAAGCCAATGTACATTAGGTGCCAAGAACTAATATGGAAGTACAAGAAATGTAGGAATGTTGTGGGTCCTTCAAACCCCAGCAATCACACTCTTCCTCTTGGATTCAGCTGCGGTGATAGTACACTAGCCGTGCACGTGCCCTGCTGCCGTCTGCTCTGCCTTCATGGAAATTCAAGTTAGGTTCTGCTCGGCTTCGTCTGCTTTACCTCAGGTTTTTGGCAGCCACACGTGTGCAAGTTTCTCTTGGCTCTGCCTAAACTGAGAGAGGCTTGAGAGTGCGGCTGGAGAGCTTGGGTTGGGAGTTACCAAGTGGGGCACGTCATGGTCCATTGGCCCCTGCAGCCCTCTGGTGACCCCCAACCAAAGCCCTGCCTTGCGTGGTGTGTCCCCCATGCCTCACACTTGCTACTGGCCTGCATGTGGGAATACGGTAACTGGCATTTAGCTCTGTGGACCCAAACTCCCCAAGAAACATAAACTGGAAGGATGTCTTAATCTTTTGCATCAAGCAGGGTGAGATGAGCAAGCTCCTCAGCGTGTCCTGGCATCCTGAGAGCAAATTGCAGAGAGCTGTAGGACTTTCCTTCAGGGCAGCATTTTACCAAAACCCTACAGAGAATGCAGTGTACATCCCTCCTCGTCTGTGTGCTGAATTGGGGGAGCTGCAGGCCCCCCCATTTCCTTGATAAGAAGCGGCAGTGTGTGTTTGTGGGGGGGGAACGTGTATTTGATGTATATGTGCACGTTTTTTTTTGTTTATGTACTTATTATCACTAGTCCAAATTCAGCCTCGAAAAAATTCAATTGAGCCTACATCTTCTGTCTAGCAGTGTGCAAATGACCTGCGCGTCTGCAGAGCTGGGTCATTGCCATAGCACTGAGGGCTTCCTGTCTGCAAGAGGTGGTGTCCTCACCGCACCTACACAGTCCTCACCCCCTCTTCAGAAGTGACACATGGAGGCCCGGATAGAGAGACAAAATGTTGATTGCATTCTCAACTCTATTTAGGAGTGTAATGCTGCAGGCAGGTACTTGGTGGGGTTTCCTGGAACATCTCTGCAGAGTTCATTCCTGCAGCTCACCGGGCTCTCATGGTCCCCCAAGGCAAGTGTCATGGGCCTGGGGCACCCATGGGCCATAGCAGCCCTGACCAGCCCCACCTGGGACCCCCACCCAGGCACCTGGTGCAAGCCCAGGTTGCAAACACATTGAAAAAACGAGAGCTGAGGAGACAAAGGTGCTTACAAGCTGTAGGGTCACCCTGCGAAACCTTTTTTGGCAAGGAACATCCCAGGCATCTCCCCCATGTCCTGGTGCTTTGCAGAGGGCAGAGCTCTGGTCTCCCATCACTTCTCCTGCTATACTCTTTATTTCTAGGTAGGCAGCATCTCCCGAGTCATCCTTGTCCCAGGTCTGCTTCCTCTGCTTAAACGTTGTACACAAGCCTAATGGCAACATTTATGATCAAATCCCTTCCTTGGGACAGATCTAATGTGGTTTTTTTACCTCCTATTAACATCATTCATGCACTTACGAAGATTAAGAGACAACATCATGTGCTCCTTTGCTGCTGTACCAAGATGGCTTTATGTCTTACTGCCTTAAGGACTTGGAAATATTATAAAATCTACTTGGCAAAAGGCAAAGCTTGCTCCCTGATTTGAGTGGGAAGGAGAAAGATTTAATACTGGGGGGGGGGGGTCACCTTCCCAGCTGGCCTCCAAATCTTCGCATGCAAATCCCTCATTTGTCTGATCGGACCGCATATTTTAAAAGCTTTGGGGTTTTTCTTTAATTGGTTTAAGGGCTTGGCTAATGCATAAGGTATAGCGAAAACCGGCTCTGTGTTACACACGGTTCTGGGTTAAAAAAAAACTTTCCACAGCCTGAAATGAAAGAAAATAACACAGTCGATTACAGGCTAGAGCTGTATGCTTTGCAGGTTTACATGCCTGGGAGCAGCTTGGGATCTATCTATATAGTTTATAAGTGCCGTTGTTTAGATTTGTATTTTGCTATAGATATAAAGTGGAAACCATTCCAAAGACCTTTCTGCTAGGAAGATTTTTCTTGCCTATTATTAGCACTCTGCTTTTGCAGCAAGCGCTCATGAGCCAATATGCAGAGTTTTAAAGGACTTCAAAGTGTCATTGGGAACCAAGTGATATGTGTGTTAAAAAGGGTTTAATGGAGCTGCAGTCACTGTAGCACAGTGTCTTTTTATAGCAAGTTTTTACAGCGTTAAGAAAAACATCCTGCAGATTTCAGTAGGATTGGCATATGGATAAGGTACTTTGCACTATGATTTTTGTTTATCTGCTATTAAAAAAAAAAGAAAACCAGCATTGCTTGCTATAGGGAGAATGATAAGCAGGAACAGGTCTGCAAAACTCAGGCAACAGCTATTACTTCTATTTTGGATTTAATGTTATTTTCTTTTTTAGAAGAAAAACATACATTTGGAAGCCAATGGCTTGGTTTAGAGAATGGAGATATGGAGTGATTTGTATTCATATTGAAGCTTCTAACAGTCTCTTTTTTTTTTTTTTAAGAGCCACTGGATTATAGTATCATTATCACAAGGCAAATCCTGCTTATCAAAGTTGAGGCAAACTTTCCGGGACTGTCTTTAAAAATGTCATAGGTCAGGCTCCCACAGAAAAGAAATGGTTTGCAAAAACCACATCAAATATTAAACCTGACGTGATCCATGTGTGGCCATGTTGATCTGCAGGAATGTCTGAAGATTTGGCAGGGAATCAGTGATTTGAATACATTCTCGATTTTTCCTTTTACAACACCATTTATGAATCTCCTTTAATTATGCCCGGGAAGCATGTAGGGATGCCAAATGAGACAGGCTCCTCGTTGCCCTTTAGCAACCCACATCAACAGCCTGCCCACATCTGAAAGAGCCAGGCAAGGAGTGAAAAGGGAAGACGAGTACCCGTGGCCCGCTGTGGGGGTAGGAGACTTGCCCAGGGTTATACAAAAAGGCAGCGGTAGAGCTGGGACATAGCTTTGGGTCTCCGGTGCCTCAGTCCTACATCCCTATAGCCATGCTTGCATCCACAGCGTCTGGGATTTAGCTGTTTGGACTTGTTCCACCTTGGCATTTGCATCAGGCTGGGAACAACTGGTTTCTGCCTTATCTGGGGGAATTAAAAAAAAAAAAAAAAAAAAGATACAAGGAAACCTTTAGTTGTTGTGACTGCTAAAGCAGGAAAAGTTCAGGATTTTTCAAGCCTTGCAGGCAGCTGTGGGCTGCAAACGAATGTGCTGAAAGCTGATGAGAGCACGGGTTCAGCTCCTGCTGCTGCCCTTACGCCGGCAGCTGCC